GTAAACCTACAACTAACATTACTAGAAAGGAAAAAAATTTGCAGATGATATGATTCTGTGTGTAGAAGTCAAAGGAATCTGTAGACAATTAGAATAGTAGCAAGGTTTAGAAAGTTTGCTGATATAAAATCAATATACGAAAACCAATTATATTTATAAGCCACAAACAGAAAATAAAACTTTTAAAGGGTACCATACATAACACCACTTGCAACACAATAATATTATAAAATGTTCTTGCACACACACAAAACTGGATCTGATTAGGCCTCTAGATTTTATTACCTATTTGCAGGAAATACAAAGGACAGAGAGACATACTAAAGATACCACAGGTACACAGTCAGAAAATCCAGACTCTACAGAAACTAAAGGACAAACAACCAGTTTCTACAACAAACAAATTGTAAGAAAAGAAAGAGGAGGAGAGGGAACCTATAGATTTTAAAGGGATTTCAGAAGAAAACTATATTCTTGGATTTGTTCCAAAATAATCTAGGATAAGGTGGTATAAATGAAATAAGGTCAGGTGCGGTGGCTCACGCTTGTAATCCAGCACTTTGGGAGGACGAGACAGGTGGATCACCTGAGGTCAGGAGTTCGAGACCAGTCTGGCCAACATGGTGAAACCCCATCTCTACTAAAAATACCAAAAAAATTAGCTGGGCATGGTGGCAGGTGTCTGTAATCGCAGCTACTTGGAAGGCCGAGACAGGAGAATTGCTGGAACCCGGGAGGCGGAGGTTGCAGTGAGCCGAGATCGTGCCACTGCACTCCAACCTGGGCGACAGAGTGAGACTCTGTCTCAAAAATAAATAAATAAAAAATAATAAAAAAATAAACTATGACTAATAATTGTCAAAGCTGGGTTGTAGATAGCTGGGTTTCATTACACTATATCCTCGTATGTGTCTGAAATTTTTAGTATTACAAAGTGTTTCTTAAAATACCATTTACAAAGCCTTTATTAAAAAATGGCCAGGCCTGGTGACTCGCGCCTGTAATCCCTGCACTTTGGGAGGCCGAGGTGGGCGGATCACTTGAGACCAGGAGTTCAAGACCAGACTGGCCGGCCGGGCGCGGTGGCTCAAGCCTGTAATCCCAGCACTTTGGGAGGCCGAGACGGGCGGATCACGAGGTCAGGAGATCGAGACCTTCCTGGCTAACACAGTGAAACCCCGTCTCTACTAAAAAGAATACATAAAACTAGCCGGGCGAGGTGGCGGGCGCCTGTAGTCCCAGCTAGTCGGGAGGCTGAGGCAGGAGAATGGCGTGAACCCGGGAGGCGGAGCTTGCAGTGAGCCCAGATCGCGCCACTGCACTCCAGCCTGGGCGACAGAGCGAGACTCCGTCTCAAAAAAAAAAGAAAAAAAAAAGACCAGACTGGCCAACATGGCGAAACCCCATCTCTACTAAAAGAAAAAATATATATACAACAATTAGCTGGGTGTGGTGGTGCACACCTGTAGTCCCAGCTACTCAAGAGGCTGAGGCATGAGAATATGTCAAGCCTGGAAGGTGGAGATTGCAGTGAGCCAAAATTGTGCCACTGCACTCCAGTCTGGGCGGCAGAGAGAGACTCTGTCTCAAAAAATAAAATAACCTAGGAATAAATCTAACAAAGATGCCAAGACATTTACAGAATAAATTATAAAATTTATTGAGACCAGGTACAATGGCTCATGCCTGTAATCCCAGCACTTTTGGAGGCCAAAGCAGGCAGATTACTAGAGCCCAGAAGTTTGAGACTGTCCTGAATAACAGAGCAAGATCCGGTCTCTACAAAAATACAAAAATTAGGCCAGGCCCGGTGGCTCACACCTGTAATCTCAGCACTTTGGGAGGCCGAGGCAGGCAGATCACCTGAGGTCAGGAGTTTGAGACCAGCCTGGCCAACATGGCGAATCCCCATCTCTACTAAAAATACAAAAATTAGCTGGGCGTGGTGGCGGGCACCTGTAATCCCAGCTACTTGGGAGGCTGAGGCAGGGAGAATCACTTGAACCTGGGAGGACGGAGGTTGCAGTGAGCTGAGATCGTGCCACTCCACTCTATCCTGGGCGACAGAGCGACACTCTGTCTCAAGAAAAAAAAAAAATTAGGTGGCATGCACCTGTAGTCCGCTACTTAGGAACCTGAAGCGGAAGGATTGCTTGCACCCAGGAGGTCAAAGTAACAGTGAGCCAAGATTGTACCACCGCACTCCAGCCTGGGCGACAGAGCAAGATTCTGTCTCGGGGAAAAAACAACAACAACAACAACCAAAAAAAAAATATATATATATATATATATATATATATATATACACATTTAAAAAGATAATAAGTAAATGGAGAGACATACTGTGTTCAAGGACTGGAAGACTCAGTATTATAGAGATGTCTATTCCTCCTAGATAGATTTCATAGATAAGATGCAATCCCAACAGTTTTGAAATTGACAAGCTAATTTTAAAGTCTACATGGAAATGCACAAGGTCAGGAATAGCCAAGATGCTCTTGAAGAACAAGGAAGGAGGTCTTGCTCTACCAGATACCAAGACTTGTTATAAAGCTATAGTAAACAAGATAATAAGGTATGGGTTTAGAGATAATTAGGTATGCTCAAATAGACTACAAAGGAATAGAGAACCTGAAAACACTCCCATACATAAATGGACACTTGATGTGCACAGCAATGAGGAATGGACAGGCTTTTCAATAATGTGGACAATTGGGTATCCATTAGGAAGAAAAAAGGAATTGGACCCCTCCTTTACACCATAAGCAAAAATCAGTTCTAGGCCGGGCACAGTGGCTTACGCCTGTAATCCCAGCATTTTGGGAGGCCAAGGCAGGTGGATCGCACAAAGTCAGGAGTTCAAGACCAGCCTGGCCAACATGGTGAAACCCCATCTCTACTAAAAAAATACAAAAATTAGCCAGGCATGGTGGCATACGCCTGTAATCCCACCTACTCAGGAGGCTGAGGCATGAGAATCACTTGAACCTAGGAAGCAGAGGTTACAGTGAGCCGAGATTGCACCACTGCACTTCAGCCTGGGCATCACAAGGTGACTCTGTCTCAAAAACAGAAAAAACAGCAGTACTAGTACATTAATACCCGAAATGTAAAAGACAAAACTATAAACTTTGAGAAGGTAATATTGGAGAATATCTTCTGGGACAAGGAAGGATTTCTTTTTATTTTATTTATTTTTCTAAAGTCAGGGTCTCTGTCTCCCAGGCTGGAGTGCAGTGGTGTAGTCTTGGCTGACTGCAGCTTGGAACTCCTGTACTCAAGTGATCCTGCTTCAGCCTCCCTAGTAGCTGGGACTACAGGCACATAACATCACACCAGCAATTTTTTTTTTTTTTTTTTTTTTGTAGAGATAGGGTCTGCTATGTTGCTCAGGCTGGTCTCAAACTCCTGGCCCCAAGTGAGCCTCCCTCCTTGGCCTCCCAAAGTGTTGGGAAATCCCCTGCTAAGAATTTCATTTTTGGTTTTTTTTACACAAGGTCTCGCTCAGTTGCCCAGGCTAGAATGCACTGGCATGATCTCAAATCACTGCAACCTCCACCTCTCAGGCTCAAGTAATTCTCCTGTCTCAGCATCTGGAGTAGCTGGGACTACAGGCACATGCCACCGCACCCGGCTAATTTTTGTATTTTAGTAGGGATGGGGTTTTTGCCATGTTGCCCAGGCTGGTGTGAACTCCTGAGCTCAAGTGATCCACCTGCCTCAGCCTCCCAGAGTGCTGGATTACAGGCATGAGCCATCGCACCTGGCTGAGGATTTCTTAAGATATCAAAAATACTTCCCATTAAAGAAAAGACTGATAAATTTGACTAAATTAAAACTAATAAGTTATGCTCATCAAATGATACCACAAAGAGAGCAAAAAGGCAAGCCACAGAGTAGAAGAAGATGTCTGCAACACATATATTAATAACTAACAAAAGTATAATATCCAGACTATATAAAGAATTTCTACAAATCTATGAGAAAAAGACAACTGAATAGAAGAATGGTCAAAAGACTTGAACAGACACTTTACAAAAGAGGAAATTCAGTAGCCAATAAACATATGAAAAAATGATCAATCTTACTAATGAGTGAAACGTAAACTAAAATGTAAATTAAAAACACAGTGGTATTCCATTATTCATCCACCATGATGGCTAAAGTTAAAGATGGATAATACCAAGTGTTGCCAAGGAAGTGGAACAGTAGGAATGTTCATACACTGCTGGTGGGAGTGTAAATCAGTACAATGTCATTGGAAAGTAACTTGCCATTTACAATAGCACCATATGGCATTCCGATCGTGATTTTGGACTCTTATATGTGAGTCACTTGGGGACCCTTGGTTAGCCCCCATGAGCAAAATCATTAAGAGAGCAAAGTCTTCTGTGGCAGTATCCTGAAAAGTAAGTATTTGCTTAGACTGAACCTAAAAGAGCAACTTTTTAACATCATCTTTGTTTATGTACCAATGCTGGATGTTATAGATCAAAATTATAATGTCCTGATTGTGGTTATAACTGTGAATTTAATCAGAGCACACTTTTTATATCTTATATTAGAATCTCCATGTAGCAGTAGTACCATTTATTAAGCTGTTGTTAGAAAGATTAAAGGAGTTAATACATGTCAAGTTCCTAGAAAAGTGTCTAACATTAAGTGCTCAGTACCAGCTAACAAGTGACAAAGCCAGAATTCAAACCAGGCCTGTGTTGAAACATTCTACTGTGTCTCATGGCCACATGTTAGGCATCTAATCTGTGTTGTCAGTATATGTTCAAGGAGTACCATGCCATTTTAGTATAAGCCTATATTTTAAAAACATTTCTAGGAAATTGTCATGAAAACCAAAGAATAGCCTTTGTCCAAATTTTTTAAAAGATTAGAATGAGTATGGTTATGCTGTTTTATGTAAATTCTTCAAATGGATGACTCTTCTATTTTATCAACCAGAACTATAAATTCATTTTATTTTATTTTATTTTTATGTGTGCTAGCGAGTAGCTTGCATTGCCATGGAGAAGACCAAACAGGAGCAGCAGGCCAGCTGTACTTGGTTTGGCAAGAAAAAGAAGCAGTACAAAGATAAATATTTGGCAAAGCACAATGCAGGTAGGGAAAAGCACGACTGTTACTGAGGCTGGGGTCAGCATCTCCAAGACCTAAAGAGATGTAATATTTTAATTCAGTCTTCAGTGTTCTCTATCCAAAAAATTCTACCATATGAGATCGTCATCAACTTTCAAAACCTTTAAGAAACCCCTACCTCCAATTAATATGTTGGTTATTTGCTAGATATTTTACAGAGCTATACTTGTAGGACAAAAATGTTATTTTGAAATAGTATCTTCTGGAATGAAAAGAATCCAACACGTTAAGTCGTCCCTGAGAAATGAAAGCCTGAGAGTTTGCTGAGTAGCCAGGATTCTTATCTCCTTGCTGGATTGGTCTTGAACAGATCTCCTCCCCTCTGGCTCCTGCCTGGCCCTTGGGCGTGGCCCTGTGATAAACATCTAAGGGTAGAGGTGCTCTTATCAGAGAACTGTGTCACAAATGGTTCTGTGGTTGGTTTGAAAGAGTACAAATGACATGGACACTAACTTGGTTTTGTCCATTTCTGTGAGTAGTCTTCTTCCCTCATGATATTTCCAAGCTCCCTGGCCAGGCGCGGTGCTCACGCCTGTAATCCCAGCACGTTGGGAGGCCGAGGCGGGTGGATCACAAGGTCAGCAGATCGAGACCATCCTGGCTAACACGGTGAAACCCCGTCTCTACTAAAAATACAAAAAATTACCCGGGCGTGGTGGCAGGCGCCTGTAGTCCCAGCTACTCGGGAGGCTGAGGCAGGAGAATGGCGTGAACCCGGGAGGTGGAGCTTGCAGTGAGCTGAGATGGCGCCACTGCACTCCAGCCTGGGCGACAAAGTGAGACTCCGTCTCAAAAAAAAAAAGGCAGATATTTCCAAGCTCCCACAAGAGCAAGAATCTTATCTTGGCCTTCCCTTTATAGTATGTATGTTGCCCATATGGAAGTTGTATTAAACTTAAGTCAAAATGTTCACTTGTCTTGTTAAAAAACAGAAATTAATACCAAAAAAGCATGATCTGTTGTTGCAATAGAATATCCAGAAGATTCACAGGGTGCAACTTAAGCTAAAGAAAATGCATAGTGGTATACAGGAGTGCTAACGTAAGAAGTTATTTTCAATAACTTCTTAATATGACTCCTTTTATAAGGAACTTTTTCTGAGGAATTGAAAGTCCTGACTGGCATTAGGTAGTTCCCAAGGTTTCAGAAATAGCTCCAAAAATTAGAAATGTGGCCAAAAAAATCAAGTGAATCCAGTCATGCATACCCAGATTGATGGCATAATGTTTCTGACAAGTATGAAATGCATTTTTCTCTGTAAATGTTATAACATACTCTGAATTGTTCATTTCTCAATCAGAAATTAAAAGTAAACATTTCAAACTGCTGTATAATGTGGAATGAATGTGAGTGGCCACATGGGTTAAGTTTAAACAGCTCAGTTAAATGAGGAATCATTCCCTTCTCGTTAGTTACATTGTACCACATTTTTATTTCCAAAAACAGTATAATTTCTGATTATGTGCTACTACAGAGCAGCAGTTTCATAATGGCTTTTTTGTTTTATGAAGGGAAGAAATAGTTAAAGCAGACTAGTTACACAAAATGTAGCAACTATTAAGAAATGCTCAAGTATACTATTTGAAGAAATGCACTGCAGAGCCAGTCACGGTGGTGGTGCCTGTAATCCCAGCTACTTAGGAGCTGAGGCAGGAAGATTGCCTGAAGCCCAGGAGTTTGAGGCCAGCCTGGGCAACATAGCAATACCCTATCTATACAAAATAAAATGAAATAAATAGAAATGCACAGCGGTATCAGCAGAATGTTGCTTTCACACAAAACGTCAGTGGTTATTACCAAGTCTCCTTAGTTGCCCTTATTTCTGTCAGCTTCTAACAGTCTAACACAATCTAATAGGCTGACAAGGAGATGTGTTGACATATAAATTGAGAAATGTATGCATCTCACCTTATAATTTTGCAACAGTGTTAAATGATACATAGATATAGATGGCATTGAAAGTAACTTACACCTAGAAAAGCGAAGAAATGGCTGGTTCAGGCTGTCAGTTCATCATTAGATTTATGCTGTACTAATAGAGGGTATGTAAACATGAGTATTCAGTTTGCCAGTATTCTTAATTCAGCTCTGAGGGAAGTAAGAAATTAATTCATTGAAAAACTAGAATTCTCTAAATACTGTCAAAGAATCAATTTAATCATTCATTTAAGAATTTTGCCAGAGAATCAGCATTCAATCTGGCAGCCAGTGTTTTCACTTTTGTGTGAGTGTGTGTGTTTTCACTTTTTCCACTCTTTCGCCATCAGGCATCATGGTCTTCTTCCATTGCTCCCATTCTCTGATTCCCGTTAGGTGGTGCACAGTGGTCCTGCAAACACGCCTGTAAGCTTAATAGGCAGCTGGAGATAGGACCAGGAATTAGCACACTGAGTGTGCAATTTGGGCAAATCACTTCGCTTCTGCGGGCCTTGAAATGAGGGAATTAGGTTAATCAAGGATATCTTTTCTAATTCTAAAGATCATGGGTCTCAGGTTCTTCATCACTGGGCCTGACAAACGGCAATCATTCAATGAAGCCAATATTCTTGTACTGTCTATCTCAGCTCTTGCTCTCTGGTAGACATTGCCTATCCAGGTTGAAAGCTATTACCCTTGACATAGAAGGCAGGAGCCAATAGGGTAGAATAGAATTGTTTTTTCCTCTGTCTTTTGACACTTACCTCCTATCCCAAACCATTGACCTCTCTAAGTTCTTGTCAGCTTAGAATGAAGAAAGGAGGGGTTGAGAGACAGGGGAGCCTACTGCCACCACCTGTTTGGTATCATCAGTATCTTCTGGGCATCAGAACCTTCCTTGCCATGCTTGAGGGGTTGTTCTACACGTCAGTGTGTGTCACTGTGTATAAGGCCCTCCTTTGAAAGAAAGTCTGAGCTTCTTGGATGGTCCTTGCAGAGACCCTTAAGTGTCTTTGTAGAACTTTGTGTTTAGGCCTATTTGTGATTCTCTAGTCAGGATATCATTGTTAGGCTTCCCTCGCCTGCAAAATAATCACTGTGAGCTCTCTTTTAGTGTCTCTTTCTGGAAGAAGATTCCCAACTTTTTCCTGGACTTTCTGAAATACACTGCCTGCAAAGCCTAGCATTCCTTCTGTCACCATCTCTTCGGGTTTCTTCTGCATCATCAACCAACTCTTCCATTTTGTTCATTAGAAAGTCCAGAAGAACCACTTGCTTAGTATTACCTTTGCTTTACAAGAGATCAAACTGTCAAGTATTTAATCAGCTGTTCTGCTTTAGCTATGATGAAAAGATCATCCCAGTGTACAGAAGTGTCCTTATAAAGAATTGCTCTAAAAGACTGAGAAACAAATACTATTGACCTCCACTGGTGAGGCAGTTGCTTTGAGAAATATCATAGCCTTTCATACCAAACTAGATGGCTCATGGCCACAGATAAAACAAGATCTCAAAAGGATTTTTCTGGCTTCTTTAGAAGTTGATGGTAAAAACAGTACTCTGTTCTTCTGCTACTACTCATTAATTAAAATAAAGGCCGTATGTTTTGTTTCCTGCTTCAAATCTTTGAGAATTCATCATATATTGATGGCAAGATCCAAACCTTATCAAATTCTGGCATTATTTGTATTTGTGGTACAAATGAAGGTTGGGAATTTTGTCATTATCTAGAACTGGTGGGAATGATAACACTAGAATTATTTCCATTTTTGTCACTAGGAAATTCTACATAGCTTGTTAAAGTGGAATTCTGTTCAGACTGTGTTACCTACAATTGCCATCATAAAGTGACAGCCTATTCGCTGAATTTGACCCATGAGTAAATTTTATCCCTCTAACTCCCACACACACAGTGTTAAAATAAATTTTAATAAGTCATCATATGTGAAAGTCAGGATATTTAACATAAAAATTTGGGTTTCAGAGTTCCCTTAGAAGAACAAGGAATGCAGCAATACCAGGCCCCACTTTCTCTCGCAGTAACTCTGGGTGGTTAATGTGGCCTTTGAATGGTCACTCATTCTCCAGCACATGCTGTCCACACCACTCCCTGTTTTTGCACCTGGCCCACTTCATTCAACCACATTAGCTACCTGACCCCTGCGGGCATTCAAGTATCTACTTCTTAACCCAATGCTACCAGTGTGCAATGCTCTTTTGAATTGGAGGTCTTTATAGTATTTGAAGATCTTGATAGCATTTCCAACTGAGACAAGGATTCAACGTTAATGACTTTTTTATGGAAAAAATTCAACCTGGAAAGTAGTTACATAAATACTTAAAAGAAGTGTCTGGAATGTTAAGTAGTTTAGCAGGAAATCAGGGTAATATGAGCAAACTGTGCCAGACAGTATTTCTGAATCCTTGGGAATAGATTTGATTATGGTGTGTGTAGCTTTTACAGCAAATACATTTTCTGTAACACATAAAAGGTTTCTAGCCATGTATACTTGGTGCAAAAAGCATTGTAGTGTGGCTAGAACAACTGAACTCTAGAGGCATTGAGATTCCTCAGCCCCCAGGACTTCCAAAAGTCATTTTAGATCAAGTTACTAATGTAAACTTTTTAAAAATTTAGGAAGTTTTATGGCCGGGCGCGGTGGCTCAAGCCTGTAATCCCAGCACTTTGGGAGGCCGAGACGGGCGGATCACGAGGTCAGGAGATCGAGACCATCCTGGCTAACACGGTGAAACCCCGTCTCTACTAAAAAAAATACAAAAAACTAGCCGGGCGAGGTGGCGGGCGCCTGTAGTCCCAGCTACTCGGGAGGCTGAGGCAGGAGAATGGCGTGAACCCGGGAGGCGGAGCTTGCAGTGAGCTGAGATCCGGCCACTGCACTCCAGCCTGGGCGACAGAGCGAGACTCCGTCTCAAAAAAAAAAAAAAAAAAAAAAAAAAAATTTAGGAAGTTTTCATTAATTTGTTTTCTTAAATGTTAGAGCCCTGAAATGTTTGCATACACATATTTGAACATAGGGGATTTCTACAATACCATTCACAGGTGTGTTTAAATTATGCTTAATACCACAAGTTAGTACTATTGACTTTAAAAGCTATTCTTTTTTTTTCTGGAATACAAGCAACTCTAAAGGAAACGAAAAGTGACCCATAATCTCACTCACTGCCCTGTTGGCATTAAAAATAATAATAGGCTGTGCGCAGTGGCTCATGCGTAATCCCAGCACTTTGGGAGGCCAAGGTGGGCAGATCACTTGAGGCCAGGAGTTCGAGACCAGCCTGGCCAACATGGCAAAACCCCATCTCTACTAAAAATACAAAACTTAGCTGGGTATGGTGGTGCACGCCTGTAATCCCAGCTACTTGGGAGGCTGAGGCAGGAGAATCACTTGAACCCGGGAGGCAGAGGCTGCAGTGAGCCAAGATCCCACCACTGCACTCCAACCTGGGTGAAGGAGTGAGACCCTGTCTCAATAATAATAATAATAAAAATAATAGGCACACATGGTTAGAAATTACACATGGTACAGGACAGTACAAAGTGAAAAGCAAAAGGCTTCCATGTCTACACTCTCTGAAGAGGTTTTCTTGTAACTATTCTCGATAAAATGTCTATGTTAGTATATAAATCCACTGGCTTTTATATAAGGTTATTGTTGAATTTCTATTAAATGAGTTTGTTTCTTAATGTGATTTATTTGCCTTGTGTTTAGAATATTGCATGATAAAGTTTATTTTGTACATATTATACTTTTATTTTACTAATATATGAAAAGCCATATTTCAATGACCCCTGTACATTTTTCATGCTGTCTCACTCCCAATGGCCTCTGTGCATGTAAGTAACCTGTTGAATGACTATGCCTCTGTGTTTTTGATGATTTTCTTTTAAGTCCTTTTTTTTAATCAGCAAGCAACTTAAAACCTTTAAAAGTTCATTCTTTAAGTGCTTTCCTAATATTCTTTGTATCTCTTATTTTAAAATACCCTTTTTTTATTGTTTCTCAACCCTATGACCGTGTGGCAATTTCATTTAGACCAGAGTAACCTCTTCATGCTGCTCCTTTATGGTTAAGATATTGATGTTTAACATATCTGTTTCATTTCATTTTCATAACATACCTGTTTGTGGTTTTGATTGTTGACATCTAACTCATTCTTATGTGTTTTTTTTAAAAAATGACAAGTCTTAATTTGGTAGGATTAGAGTTAGGGCTCTATAGAGGGATAGGTGTGTGTATATACCATTGAGAAAGCTTGTGTCATCATCATCATCTTGCTCTTTCGTGAGATGCTTGCTTATTTTTATTAAAATATATTAAAACATATCTGCTTGTCAATGCACTTCTTTCGTAAGCATACTTTTTCTTGATGGAAATATCACTCAGAGGGCAATAGGTCTAAAAAATAATGCCATCAGCACTCCTGCTTTTATTTTTGCAACTCTCATCACTCCATTACTACTGCATTATAAGTAACTAGCCCTACCACAGAGGGCTCATGTTCATTTTAATTTTGTGAGTCTGCCATTCTGAACACAGAAAACATTTCTGGCTTTTTAGCTATTGCTAGAGGATATGCTTTAAAGACTTTCAATCAACCTTTATAAATCAAGTTATCGAAAGAAAACAAATGCGCAAATACCCATTAATATACACTAACCTCTATTTTAATATATTGTATTTCTTTATATATTGTGATAATGGTGCTTTTTGTTTGTTTGTTTCTGATCTGTTCTATTCCCAAGTATCTTGTTTTGCATTTTAAGTGATTGGGCAAATCACTAATGTTAAGAATTAAGGTGATATTCACAATCATTTGGCCATATTGTTTTAAGGAGTAGAAGGTTCTCTTAATGAATGATTGGCTAAAGTAGCGCAGATTTCGGCCGGGTGTGATGGTTCACACCTGTAATCCCAACACTTCGGGAGGCCAAGACCAGCGAATCACCTGAGGTCAGGAGTTCAAGACCAGCCTGGCCAACATGGTGAAACCCCGTCTCTACAAAAATACAAAAATTGGCTGGGCATAATGGCGGGTGCCTGTAACTCGGGAAGCTGAGGCAGGAGAATCGCTTGAACCTGGGAGGCAGAGGTTGCAGTAAGCCGAGATCGCACCACTGCACTCCAGCCTGGGCGGCAGAGTGAGAGTCCATCTCAAAAATAAATAAATAAATAAATAAATAAATAAATAAATAAATAAAGCAGCCCAAATTCCTTTATTACATCATTGAATCGATTTTACTGAATTTATTTTAACCCCTCTAAAATCCAGGGTTTATTCAATATTCTTTAAAAAAAGAAATGTCAGTATGTAACTGACAGCATTTGGGTATGACCATACAAAAATTACAGGAAACACAGACATACAATTTTAGCCCTTTGTGAGAATTTCCAAATGTGTGTGAGAATTGGACCACGTTGAATTTCAACAGGAATGGGCATCTGCTCAGGAAAGTTTCGTACATTGCTTGAAATTGCTTTTATGATAGTGTTAAGAGGCAGGTTTCAGAAAATATTTGTTAAAATATTTCTCCTCAGTCTGTAGTGATTAGAGAACTCCACTTTTGCAAAGGTTTCGGAGCTCAGACTCTGCTTCATGATTCTTTCCATCCTGATCCACCACACGCAGACTGCCCATGTAATGGTCGACAAGTTTTCAGGCCCAGGAAAGCATGTAACTCTCCTTACATATTCAAGACTCTCCATTGAATGGATATCTGGGTTACAGGAAAGCTTGTGAGATGCTCATTGATAAGCTTATGAAATAGTTACAGAACTTGCCTTAGAATCTAGCATGCCACCTTCATCAACTCTGTTGAAAGAAAGAACCATGAAGTTAAAGACCAGCTGCCCATGCATTTCTCATCCATCTTTAGAAATGTTCTAGCTGGCCCCTCTCCTGGTTAACTTTAGTTGCATTCATGCTATATTCATGTTGGTCACTGTCTGTAGACTTTTTCTTTTTAGTATTACTGACTTCTTAGAATTGGAAAAATATGAACAGCATGTGGTTTCGAATGAATTCATATAATTTGTTGGATACTGCATGAAAAGATATGTAACATCTTTTAGATTTGGACATTTTAATGCATGTGTTCAGCATCTTTGGATGCCCCTAGTTCTAAAGTGCATTTTCATGGGCTTAAAAATGAAAATTTCTCCCTAGATGCTATATGACTTAAATTACATATAAGCCATATATCATAAGTTAGATTCATATTTTTAAGACATGGTTTTAATATAACTGTAGTTTTGCAGTAAAATTATAATTTGTGTACATGAAATAGTCATTCCACAAATTCACCTTTCTTCTAAATCTTTGCGTTTTAGTGTTTGATCAATTAGATCTTGTCACATATGAAGAAGTAGTAAAACTGCCAGCATTCAAAAGGAAAACACTAGTCTTATTAGGTAAGTTTGATTGTATAAGTGGGTTGCTTATTCTCTCTTTCAAAACATTTTGTGAACATTATTAAGAGTTGTCAATTTGAACATTCTTTTTTCCTAAATGACATAGGCGCACATGGTGTTGGGAGAAGACACATAAAAAACACTCTCATCACAAAGCACCCAGACCGGTTTGCGTACCCTATTCCACGTAAGCAATGTCTCAATCTCTTTTCATTATATTTTTCCTATCACGTTTTTAACTCTATAATGTGTGTATTTTTTTCTGATTACATGAGGTATAACTGTTCATTGTAGGAAATTCGTAAAATCCAAAAAAGAACAAGGAGGAAAATGAGTTAACAATAATCCCAACCCCTCTTTCCCTATAATAAATGCTATAAATATTTTGTTGTATACCCTTCTAGGCTTCTCTGCTGTATACCCTTCTAGGCTTGTCTTAGTACAGATATGTGTATAGAGTGTGTGTGTGTGTGTGTGTGTGTGTGTGTGTGTGTGTGTGTGTGTGTGTTTTAAATAAATTTAGGTTCATCCATTCTGTTTGTAACAATTTTTCTAACAGCATGTCATGCGCATTACCCAGACAAATTATTCTTCGGAAAAATAAGTTTTCATAGTTGTAAAGTTTCTGATATGACAATTTTTCCCTTAATTAATATTTAAATTGTTGATTTCTTATCACTTTTTAAACCCAATCAATATGCTAACAGTTGTTTCCGTAAAGATTTTCAAATCTGTAAGATTTTTAATTCTCCTTTATTTTCTGTATCTTATTCTTAACCTCTTGCCCTCTTCATTTTCTCAATTGTAAAATGAAGTAATTCCAGGATTGCAGAGGGGATTTGAGATCATGTGTATGAAGCGCTTAGCAGATGATGGATGAGTAGAAGCTATCTACCACTATCGTTTCATTATTATCATCATTATTCTAAAGTTTAAAATTTTAGGCAAGGCGCGGTGGCTCATGCCTGTAATCCCAGCACTTTGGGAGGCTGAGGTGGGCGAATCACCTGAGGTCGGGAGTTTGAGACCAGCCTGACCAACATGGAAAAACCCCGTCTCTACTAAAAATACAAAATTAGCCAGGCATGGTGGTGCATGCCTGTAATCCCAGCTACTCAGGAGGCTGAGGCAGGAGAATCGCTTAAACCAGAGGTGGAGGTTGTGATGAGCCAAGATCGCACCATTGCACTCCAGCCTAGGCAACAAGAGTGAAATTCCGTCTCAAAAAAATAAAATAAAATAAAATTTTCATCCCAGAAGCTTTCTAGCAGTTCAGGGTTGGAAGAGCTAAAGGAGAATGATTTTTTAAGAGCAACAGGAGAAAATGTGAAGATTGGCTCCATTCTATAGGGCCTTCACATGCCTTCCTGAAGCAATGTCACCACCACTTACAGTTATCTGTACACCTCAGAGAGCCGGGAGGCTTCATGAGACATCCTTCATCCCAAAACCCTGTCTGATTTACACAAGAAATTTATCCAATAGTGCCTCATTTGGCACTACTGGGGTTTTCTAGTAAAACACCTTGAAGTGTTCTTTTAATTCTCCTTTTGTCTAGATCATGAGTATAGCAAGCTTACCTAACATTTAGCTTCTTCTTAACCACGTAACAATTGAACTTCCATGTTATTAAATGGCCAGTTAACTAGTTTGGTTTTAAAACTTACCTTTGATGACATCAATCATGACTAGTCTTTGAAATATTTGACCCCGTATGTGTATGTAACATGTATCTAACTACTAAGACGACTAAAGATAGTACAACATCAATATGTTATGTCAGTTCTTTGCCGGGCGCGGTGGCGCACACCTATAATCCCAGCACTTTGGGAGGCCGAGATGGGTGGATCACATGAGGCCAGGAGTTTGAGACCAGCCTGGCCAACGTGGTGAAACCGTATCTCTACTAAAAATACAAAAGTTAGCCAGGCATGGTGGCATGCACCTGTAGTCCCAGCTACTAGCGTGGCTGAGGCATGAGAATCACTTGAACCCGGGAGATGGAAGTTGCAGTGAACTGAGATCTTGCCACTGCACTCCAACCTGGGCAGCAGAGCGAGACCCTGTCTCAATAAATAAATAGTAATGCCGGTTCTTCAGCTTTTGAGAGAAAGGGCTTCTCTTAAAATGTCCACATTTTGATGACCACAAGCACTTGATGTTCTAACAGGCTAGCAGGAAAGGGGGAATTCCCCATTAGTTTAGGCTCATGTACACAGGAGAGAGTAGCATAAATTTGTTCTTTCTCAAGGAAAGAAGGAAGCGAGGAAATTGGGAGAGAGAGGGAAAAAAGGGGAAGGAAGGGAGAAGAGAAAGGGGGGTAGGGAGAGAGAGAGAGAATATTAAAACCAGTGTCCCTAGCTCATCTAGAAAAACATTTCCTAAAGTGTGTTTTGCAGGATACTGGTCCTATTAGTATCCACAGAACTAGAGCTTATTGGCGTATACTTCAGTTACACTCACTCAGGTGAGGGGTGGGCAAACCTTTTCTGTGAAGGACCAAATAGTGCACATTTGAGGCTTTAAGGCCATACAGTCTGTCACAAGCACTTAGCTCTGCTGTTATCTCATGAAAACAACCATAGACAATATGTAAACAAAAGCACATGGCTGTGTTCCAATAAAACTTTGTTTACAAAAACAGACAGTAGGTGGCCGGGTGCAGTGGCTGACACCTGTAATCCCAGCACTTTGGGAGACTGAGGCAGGCAGATCACCTGAGGTCAGGAGTTTGAGACCAGTCTGGCCAACATGGTGAAACCCCATCTCTATTGAAAATACAAAAATAGCTGGGCATAGTGGTACATGCCTATAATCCCAGCTACTCAGGAGGCTGAGGGCACAAGAATCTCTTGAACCCAAGAGGCGGAAGTTGCAGTGAGCTGAGATCGCGCCACTGTACTCCAGCCTGGGCTACAGAGTGGGACTCTGTCTCCAAAGTAAAAAAAAAATAAATAAAAGACAGTAGGCCATATTTGGCCCATAAGCCAGTTTGTCACCTCCTGATTGACGTCTTCCATAAAAATTATGGCTATGTCTGGCCACAGTCATTGTGTTTTCAGTGTAGTGTGCCTTTTGCTGTATCCTAACATTCTCCTTTTGCAAGATGTTATAGACCATCACTTTTCTATAGAACTTTCTGTGACAATGACAGTACTTGATGTCTGCGCAGTCCAGTACAGTGGCCATTAACCACACATGGTTATTGAATCCTTGAAATGCCGCTAGTGAGACTGAGAAACTAAAATTTGAATTTAATTTTGGCTTATTTAAATTTAACCATATGCGGTTTTCCATTTTTTTATTCTCCTGTTTTCCTTCTACACAAGACTCAACTGCAGTAAGGCACACAGTGAGTTACATTCATCTTGGGCCATTTCATGTCTTCCTCCTGTGGTGATTCATGAAGGGATAAAATACATCTCACCTGAACACTGAAAGATTCACCAAACCAGACAACTGACTGGCTACTGTGGTGTGATGTACACAGATAAATATGGTTTCTAGAATTTAGTTCTGCAAAGCCACTGGGGGTGAGAACAGGGGATATGAGATATATGCTAAAGAATCCACAGCTTTTAGGAAGAGACTGGGTTTGAGTAAATCTGTTGGGAGCGTAGTAAGCTCATCAGCTCCGCCTTTTAAACCTCTTGTGCCATGCGGCTTTGCAGACACAACCAGACCTCCAAAGAAAGATGAAGAAAATGGAAAGAATTATTACTTTGTATCTCATGACCAAATGATGCAAGACATCTCTAATAACGAGTACTTGGAGTACGGCAGCCACGAGGATGCAATGTATGGGACAAAACTGGAGACCATCCGGAAGATCCACGAGCAGGGGCTGATTGCAATACTGGACGTGGAGCCTCAGGTAATGCCCAGCCTCCCCGAATGTCTGACATCCTGCCTGCATGCCAATAAGCACAGATTCTGAAATCAAAAATACCATCAGAAAGTCACAGGTCACATAATTTCATAAACTACGGAAAAGTGTCAATAATGGAGGCATTGGGGGTTCACAGTCTAGAATGCCAGCTGACTAATCGTTGGACTCAGTGCACACACCAGGTATTTAAGAAGCAGACATTATTCTCTTAAGAGGTTTATTATATGCAGAAGCTCAATAAGGTTCCTGATTGGGTCTACGCCTGCCAGAAATCCTACAATCATCTGACCTCAGGATGAGGCTCTGGCACTGTGTTATCACAACAGCCACCTTCCCTCTCTGGGTACAGCTCATGCTGGACCATCAGAGCCTCTGCCAGCACATTATGTTCATCTCCAGTGAGAAACTGATCCTGGGGCCTGGGTCTAAAACACAGCACTAGCTTTATGAAAGCAAGCATGAGTGAGCCCAGATGTCAAAGACAGCAGGGATGGAAACCCATGGTGTCTCTCAGCCTCTGCCATTTCCTTACCTGAGCACAATGCCTGACCCTGAGCGAAAAGTAGGAGAGGGATAAAGACTTGGAAGAGGACTCAAAAGAGAGCCAGACACAGAGATGACGAAATGGTTTCTAGATATGTCTTGCAATAGGAATTATTAAACTTGGAAAAGAGAAAGCTGAAGGCTTTACATCAAAAATGCTGACAAGCTGTTTTTTCATCGCTGAGTTCAAACCAAGTAGACATGGGAGGTAAAGCACAGTAGGAAGGATTTGGGAGTTGTAGACATCAAGGTGGGTTACAGGAGAGGCTTGTGGGTGCCCATGTGACTCCGAGTTGCCATTTCTCGGACTGACCTGTACCAAATCTCTTTTAACACTTAGAAATAGAACCAGTATGCTACCTGCTGAAATAGTAGACCAGCTTCCCTCAAGCAGGCTGTGTTCCATCAGGAGGCTTACCTGGCTATCCTAGGCAGGACGAATCCCTGTTCAAGGACCACTGTATGAGACTTGGTCCCCTAATCATCCCTAAAGCAAGGACAGAACCTGTATAGCCAGAGTCTGTGTGACGTGGGACCTGACAGCTCAGTTTCTGGGCTCCAGGATCCTAATTTGTGGCCAGTGGGTTCACCCATTTCCGTTTACAACACCTGATGGCGTTCTTGAACTTGGAACTTTGGAAACCACAAAAGGATCTGTTTAAGGGGCTAGGGAGGAAAGCAGCAGTAGGGTGAACACTGCAATTTACTTAACAATTAACTTGGACCTATATAGAACTAAATATATGATGTGTACCACAGATTGATTTTTGTTTAACTGCTAATCCCTCCTTACTAGGGATTGGAAAAATCTTCTGGCCAGGGGTGGCTAGAGGCAAAGTCTCAATCCTGGTCCTGGTCTTCGACATCCTCTCCTTGGGTTCCACACTGGTCTTCACCTGAACGTCGTTTTCTGCTGGTAGTAATGTCTCTAGCAGTATGCTGGCTGCAGGGCTCCTCAGACTCCCTCTGCATTACCTAAGTCCACTTTCGAGGGCTTTCTGCCTTACCTGCCTCCGCTGCTGCCGCCGCCACTGCCACTGCTGCTGCTGCCGCTGCTGCTGCTGCTCCACCCGTAGCGTCCAGCTCTCCCTGTCTCCTTGCCCTTGCACAGCCATGCATTGCTCTGCACTGCTGAGTGGGAGACACTTCTCTCAGCCTCCTCAGGACACCCACAGCAGTTACTTTTACCCATTGCACTTGGCCCCAAAGCACCTCCTCACCCCGGCTGGGCACTCTCCTCTGTTCCCCTGAGTGCTGGATGAGCTCACCTGCACTCTTCTCTCCTGCTTCCTGGGTCCCTGCATCTCAGAACTGTGATCTCTCAGATCCACTTAGCCCCGAGGGCCGGCCATAGGCATCTGGCTGCCTGAGCCTCTTTGGGCCAGCGGCCCTGGGGATAGGGATTGCCCAGGTCCTGCCCCTCCCGTTGGTCTGGTTGACTACACTCGTCCCAGGCCCTGCTGCCCAGGCCAGCCTCATGCCAGTCCTGGTCTCACAATGACCGCTGCATACCACAGTACAGCTGAGGATGCCCACAATCTGCGCCGCCTGGGCTTCACTCTTGGGCTTCTCTGCCCTCAGCCCAGTCTCTCCTCGGCTGGGCAAGGTCTTCATCCTGCCTTCAGGATGCCTGTGACCATGAACAACTTGCTTTCAGGCAGAGCCTCATTGCTCCAGGGAGGCTCTCTCCTTAGAACATTTTTCTCCACCCCCTTTCCCACTCCAGCTTCTTAGATGACCCCTCTACTGTATCTCACAGACAGTTCAATCCAACAAACTTGTATTAAGCACTTATATGCCAAGCAGAGGGTCAGGAGCTAAGAATACAATTCAGAAGACAAGATGGTGAGGATGAAATTCCTTCCTCATTGTACATCCAAAACTGTCCATAACAGAAGGGCCTTGTGGCGTTTTTTTAAATCCTCTCACTTCTGCCAAACTACATGTGGACCATAGGAAAACCACCTAACACGTGTCCAACTCTTTTAGTGCCGGTCTAATACTGTATGCCATCTTATTTCAGACAACTGAGGCCCAATTGAGCATGTCTAATAACACTATATGATAAGATGTTGTGGTCCAACTTTGAAGCTAGAGGATGATGGTAAAGACATTAAACTAGAAAGAAATTAATAACCTGGCTTCTCATGAAATAGTAATAGATTATGTTCTTAAAGTGCTATATATTTCGCCAGGCATTATGACTCCTTACCTTATCCTTGTAACCCTGTGAGCTGGAGATCAGTATCTACTTTTGTAGATGGAGAAACCAAGGCTTAACATACTTGTGACTCGATTAAGGCTTTACAGTCAATTGAAAGTGAGGTGTGGCCGGGCGCGGTGGCTCACGCCTGTAATCCCAGCACTTTGGGAGGCCGAGGCGGGCGGATCACAAGGTCAGGAGATCGAGACCACGGTGAAACCCCGTCTCTACTAAAAATACAAAAAATTAGCCGGGCGCGGTTGTGGGCGCCTGTAGTCCCAGCTACTCGGGAGGCTGAGGCAGGAGAATGGCGTGAACCCGGGAGGCGGAGCTTGCAGTGAGCCGAGATCGCGCCACTGCACTCCAGCCTGGGCGACAGAGCGAGACTCCGTCTCAAAAAAAAAAAAAAAAAAAAAAAAAGAAAGTGAGGTGTGAAGTTGAACTATGTTGATTTTTAAATTTTTATTCTTTTACAATAAATCCCCACTTCCTTTCACTGTACTACCCTAGAAGAGGTAACCCTGGGAATCCTTAAGATGGTTCACCTTATCCATAGTAGTACAATTTAAAGCCTCCTTTTCTTTTTTAATGTTCAGAAAAATCTGTAATTCAGTCAAACCTAAGAAAAACTGCAGAATTTATTTCTCATGAAAATAAAGCTATGGCTCAGAAATAATCTGTGCCTCTAAAGCTGAAACTGTCATAGCCCCATTGTGTAATCAGAGCTTAATGTGATGGTTTTAGATTTTAACTTTATTCTGATGTATCCATTTGTAGCAGGAAAAAGTTAATAATAGCAGAATATTTGTAGTTTTGCTTTTGCCCACAGAGAAGAGGTCATCATCAAGAGGTAGCGTACAGTCTTGTTAGGAATCCATACTTTAAAACAAGAGCCAGGTTCTGAACCAGAGACTATTTTGTGAAATCAGTTAGCTCTCTTGAGATGGGTTCCGGGGTCACTGCACTCTTCCTACACCCTTAGATTTTTGTACCAAATGACTCAGATGCGTGCCCCTGTGTGCCTTTTAAGCTTGCAAACCAGAATAGATATCTGCATCTTATACGCTTGGGTCAAATGAGTTTCTATTCCTTGAAGATAATAACCTGAGATTAATTATTGGCCATAGCCAAGCCATAGAATCAATTTATCTCCACAAATATTAATGTTATTTTGACTATCTGATTCTAGCATGCTTTCAGTGATCCTTCTAGAGCATGCTGTTTCTCTCCCTGTCCATATCTGTCCCTGTTTCTCCTCTCTCTCTCTCTTTCACACACACACACTCATACTCTCTCTCTGTCTCTCTCTGTCTCGCTCTCTCTCTCTCTCCCTCCCTCTTTCTCTCTCTTCCTCTCTCTCCCTCTCTGTCTCTCTCTCTCTGTCCCTGTCTCTCTCTCCGAATCCCAGAGAGATTCAGAGAGAAATATTTGCCCAATGAACATTAAAAAATTTGTGCCTCATCCTGAGTCAGAAAGGAAGAGGGCTTAGAGTTCATCTTTAAGTCACCTGTTAACTGCCTGGGAGAGGGGATCCTTGTGAGCAATTCCATTTCCTGTCCCTGAAGTAACTCTGAACCTCAGTCAGGCTGCCACAGCACCAAAAGTGGCACTCACTTGAGGACCCATAAGTAGTGCAGAGTATGGCACAAAGACCTTCAAGAACAAGTGAGGAAATGTGTGGTGAGTCTGCTGAAAATACAAGGCTGACTAGACAGGAAAATCTCAATCAGGATTTGAGGCATCTTAGAATTTTTGAAAGTACAATAATAAAGTACAGGAATAGAAAAAGCCACAAAAAGGAGGAGAGAGCAAATATGCTAACCACAGGGCTTACTTTAGTTACTGTGATAAATACTAAATTTGGCTCTGACTTCCTGACAACCAGGGCAAAAAAAAGGAAATCAAGGAATATAACCTGATTCGTAGACATGAGAGGCATCTGGCAATGTGAGGAACATGGCCACCATTGATGGTTTTATGCAGTAAGTGCAGTCTATGGATATAGACCAAGGACATGAATGCAGTGCAGAGATGGGCAATCTGCAGAAAGCTAAACTAATGTTCCAAACAGTTTGTTTTCTGCTGTTGTAATGTGATAGCTGGAATGGAAAACAGGAGAAGGATTGGGTACCTGGTAGGCTGGGCCACTGGGTGGAGAAAAAAACCATTTCATGCCCAGGGTGTCATTCTCTACTTCATCCGTGAGTTCTGTTCAGCATCCAGGCTGGGTGGACTTCCATCTAGACCTCAGAGTAGCTTTGGAGATAGAAGCAAATAGGGTTCTTTCCCATCTCAGTTGCCCAGAAGCAGGCTATGGGATGGGTATATGTGTGTGACCAGGAGTAGGGGTGATGAGAAAACCTTGTCTCACCTGACCCTGTATTCACCTGATCTATGAGTATAGGAAGGAAGGAAAAAAGGCCTAAGATAATACTGACATAAAGGATATTTCTAAGTGAAGATCCCTGTTAGCTTGCTTGACCTATATATGGACTTCATCATAATGTTTGTTCCTTGCTAAAGTCTTCAGTCATAAAAGGATTGGCAAAGAAATTGCCAGTTACCTCTTTCAAAAATTAACATATATGCAAGCTTAAAGAGCTTTCTTACCAGAGGAATCAGAGCCTAGGACTTTAAGAATTAAAGAACTTTGATGGATAAATACAATGTACCAGTCTCCCTCAACCCACAAGAAAATGCTGTGTGACTAAAATTCAGAAATATAATCAATCCTAGTGAAAGTCAACCTTGCACTAAAAAAAGAAAGAAGCTTTCATGTCAGATTTGTCTCTTACATGCCTATATACACGAAGAGGCTAAGAGAGTCCCTTCGGCCAAGAGAGTAGAGTGCTCTGTAGATGAACCTGCCTTAAAAGACAAGATAAATTCTGTGCAAATTATATCTACTATTTTTACATTTTAATGTTTTTATAAGGCAGTTTATGCTGGTACCATATTGACCGTGAGTGAGACAGCTGAAGAAGACACAGTCCCTGCCCTGAAGGAGGGTACCCGCTAGTCCGTGGGGTCTTGGGTTTCCCATGTGATGGGTACTTCAGGAGCACATGGGAGGGTCTCAGAGCCCACAAAGGACTTCCCAGAGAAAAGAGCATCAGTGCTGAGTTCTGAAGGATTACTCAGCCAAGCCAAAGGGCGAGTGGGAAGGGGAAGAGAGGATGGGAGGTCCAGGCAGAAGGAGTAGTAAGTCAAAAGGCCGGAAAGCCAGAAGAGAGTCTGGCCCTTTCTGGAACTGAAAGTAGTTCAGGATGGCTGGCCCATGGAGGCAAAGGGGCAGAGAGAAAGGCTGAAGAGTTAAAGCACAGGCATGCTTATGAGGGAGAGAGGTGACATTCATGCTGAGGAGTATACATTTTATCCTGAGGCCAAGAGGGAACTGTTGAATTCTGAGCAGGAGAGCCATGGGTTTTGAATTTCAGAAAGATCATTCCAGTAGCAGGGTAGAGTGTCGATTGGAAAGCAGCAAAACCAGAGGCAGGGCAACCAGTCTGATTACTATGACAATAAGCCGGGCAAAAGATGGAGCAATAGGAATAGCACGAAGCCAGCAAATGTAAAGTCCATTTAGAAAGCAAAATATGTGGGGAGCAGGATAGTTAAGTTCTTGTGTAAATGACAGCAAGATATTTACCCCAGCGCATATGAATAATCAATGTCAGTCACTTGTGAATTGGGTATCTGTATGTGTTGGGTTTTGTTCCTCGGAAGGGAGTGTGTAACCTCCAAGATAATCATATCTCCTGGGGAGGAGCTGAAACAGTAATCCTTAGCAGAATTAACTCCCCGCAGCGTCTGATATGCAGCCGTTGCAGTATATCTATCCAAACTAGTAGCTTGCAGTTAGAGGTTTTCAGTGCCTTGGAAGGGAACTGAAAGGGATCTCAGAGACCTCCTCTCTTGAATGCAGCGATTTCTCATGGGCCTACACATTGCCCACAGCCACACAGTGTCTTTAGCGACAGGACTAAGACACAAAGTCTAGGGGCTCCTAACTCCAGCCCTGGGCAAGCTTCCCCCTTCCCCAGGAGTCCCAGGGGTTTTCAGCAGAGCAACGCACAGTTTACAGTGGACAGATTTGCTAGCAGTCCTTGGCTAGCGATTTAAACTTGAAATGTGAGGGAGTCGGCCTCCAGATTAGTGGGTAAAAACCAGCCTGCAGGGTCCAAGTCTCTTCCTTAGATGCATTTCTGTGGATTAAAATTCAGGCTACAACTATAGCAGGTTAAATGGACATTAACCAACATAATCAGTGTTAACTTTTATGAAGAAAAGAGATTGATTCATGAGTCATAAGAAAAATGTCCAGTTTGCCAACTTTCATTGTCTGATGGCTATTGTCCATCCTTTAGAAAAAAGTAATATAAGTTATGTATAAGTTGGTACATTTAATACCTTGCCCAAAAATTTGAGCCAAGGGGCTTGAAATTTTCAGTTGTATAAAATTTTTATAGACTCATTTGAAAGTTACATTATTTATTTCTCTTTTTAAGTCGGGATTTTTTCTTTTTTTTTTTTTACTTAACACAGGCACTGAAGGTCCTGAGAACTGCAGAGTTTGCTCCTTTTGTTGTTTTCATTGCTGCACCAACTATATACTCCAGGTTTAAAATGACGGTAAGAATCAATCTGTTTTTCCGCCAAATAAGCCGTAAGGATCAAGCCTTAGTCCCCAGCACAGTCAGAAGCGTGTCAACCTACATTTGCAGCAAGGCTGCTCTGATGAAATGGGATGTGGAGTAGAATGCTACATGGCACAGCCTTATCAGTAAGTTGACTTCTAAAATCTGAGGACAAACCCCCTCGCTCCCACCAGGACCAAGGCATCCCAGGTGTCTCACAACCTCCAGGGCTGCCAGCCTACTCCCTACCCAGTTACGGATTGTGCGGCCCGTGGAGTGGAACCTTTGTGGAATTTCTCTCCAGGCCCCTGGAGACTACCAAACCTAGAAATCAGCTCTGTCCACTGTCAAGCCAGCTCAAGTCAGAAACTGCCACAGACGTGGTACTCATAAGAGTTGGCTGCCGACTTTTGGAAGGTTTTCCATTGCTGAGCAGATCCAAAGGGTAGTTACCATGTGTCTGCTAAGTGTAGCAGTGCCTATCTGCTGTAGGTTCCTTAGTTAAGGGGAGACTCTTATACAAAGTTATCCTGAAGACAGTTGCTTTCACAGGTTCTAGAAATCATCAGAGGATTCGACTCTGTTCAGTCAACACTGACCTAAACTCACCCAAGCTTAAAATCTAGTTAAATCAAGGCTTGGAAATTTTCCCTTTGTGTACCTTTAAGGAAGATTCAGGATTTTGATTTACCTGTGTTACTCATATTTTCCGTTGTTTTTGTCATTTCATCTGCAAGAGGTATATTCCTTTGTAAAATTCTACTTTCCCATCTTTTTTAATACACAAGCATGTTTGAAACTCCACATTGTGGTTAGCTTTTATCCTTAAGTTGCCATGTATTTTTCTTGAATCATCATCTTTGCTTTTGTTTTTGTTTTGCCTGTTTTCCTGCCCTTTTACTAATTTTCCATAGCTGCCAAAATGGTGCAGAAAATTGCCTGTAAGTACCAGCTAGGAGGTAGTGAAATACAGCCTTGTTTCTTCTAATAGATTTAGAATGTAGACACTTTGTTCCCACAAATCCTTGCTTTTGCTGTTAGAATAAAGGCATTTTGTTTTCACTGAGTTAAACCCTGCTCACGTGTGAGTCAAGCACACAGACAAGCTGTTGTCGAGGAAGAGACTGACAAATATAGCTTCATCTTAAAAGATTCTTAAGAGGGAGCTTTATTTTTCTGTAAAGAGACCTACATTAAAAATGTGATACTTTCAGCCATACATTTTCTGGAATATTTTCATCAGCCCAGCTTGCTGAGCAAGTCATAAACTCTGCTAGTGGTTTCTGAAGCTCAGGACTACATATTCAAATAGAATCCCGTGTGCCAGACAGTGATGTTGTAGGAATTGTTCCTTTTCATCCTGGTAGGAAGCACTCCTATCTTTGGGTGAATGCACGTTTGCTAAAATGGCGGTTTTTTTGTTTTTTGTTTTTGTTTTTTGCATTGTGTTGGTTATTAAGTAAAGCCACAGTGAAAATACTATGCTTTTAAGTGCAAGCAGAACTAGAAGGTGATGATTAACTGGGGTCTTAGCTACACTGTAGTACTTAACA